AGAGGGAAATTCTGTGTAAGAATTACTTTCCAGTGCCCATCTTTCCTTCACTTGCGCTTATATCTAAAAGCCTTTGACATCTTCTGTATCCCAGTTGACTTATGGTACTTTAAACTTTGCATCCCCCTTAGCAAGGAAGCTCTTAATTCAACTTTGGAAGGTTACAGGTGAAAACATTTTTTACTTTGGTCTCCTAAACATGCCTTTCCCTGCTGCCATCTCTAGTGGCTCTAAGGTGCAGCATCTCCCAGCTCCCTGACATCTCTAGGCCACACTAGTCCCTGCGTGCTCATTTCTCCTGGTTGGAAGAGGAGGTAAAAGGATAATGAGGACCCCCCCCCCCCAATTAACTGACACTTGCTGACTCCTGGCCACGATGCTGGTGTCATGTTTCTAGAAGCCCCTGGCTCTGCCTCTCCCAGTCCTCTCTGTGTGTACCAGCCTGATAATGGTCCTCTCACCACAGATTAACTGGGGTTTCACCAACAAAGCCCCGGCCACTCAGCCCTCCACCATACCACTGTGCTCTCACAACTGAACTAGCCATCCTGCCTCACAGATCAAATTGAGACGAGAGTAGAGACAGCAAAAGCGGAGACGCAGAGCTTGGCATGGGGTGGGGGTGTAGGCAATGGCAGCTGGAACTTGCTCTTCAGGTGGATGGAGTGGAGTTTCTATCACAGCACTCCCTAAGTTTTAGACAAAAAATGTTAAAAAAGAAAAGCAAGGTTCCTCAGCAGGGTGCCCAGTAAAAGACTCACATACCCCATGGCATTGTCCTCACCTCCTATTCAGAGGAATGAGGAACCTCAGTGGCCATGAGGTTATAGCCATCGCCTCAACAGCAGTCATCGGAATTGGCAGCCCATCTGTGGGCCCTGCTCCTGACTCAGCGGGGAGCCAGCCTCCCCTGGAGGGAGCCCGAGAGAGTCAGTGCCTTTCAAGGTCAACATGGCCAGGAGGGGGCAGTGGAGGCTTCTGAGCTCTTTAAAATTCTCTTTAACCAACTGATCTCGAGAATTCTGGAAGACAACTTTGTTGGGTATTCCAGCCTAGATATCTACACCTAGCCCCTAAATCCCTAGTAATCTTCCCCCTCCTGGCTGTGCAAGAAGGAGGAGGGGCAGGGGGAAAGAGAACGTCCCTTTTTATATGGTTAGGAGCTATTTTCAACAACTTTTAGTTCTCCAGAGAGACAAAGTAATGTTAACAACTGGGAAACACATGCCACTGATGTCATATTCCTGGGAAATCCCTCCACTAGGACAATCTCTCTGCCTCTCCTGTGTTCCCGGGGTTTCCCTAAGCAGCCTCTGTGTGGTCTGGAGATAGTACCGCAGTGAGCAGGAGCAGTGAGTATATTCCAGAAACCGACTCACCCACTAGGCAACACTTCTGATTTGATCCTAAACTTCACTCAGAGACTCTCTCTTACTAGCTGCCCTGTGTCACCCCTATCGTCCCAGCCAGTTATACCAAACCAAGCTAATCTGCATATATAAATTGCAGTACATTAACTGGCTTTTCCTCTCTATTGGCCCTTAACCCAGCGGTTCTCAACCTGTGGGTCGCGACCCCTTTGGCGCGGTCGAACGACCCTTTCACAGGGGTCGCCTAAGACCATCCTGCATATCAGATATTTACATTACATTCATAACAGTAGCAACATCCTGCATATCAGATATTTACATTACGATTCATAACAGTAGCAACATTACAGTTATGAAGTAGCAACGAAAATAATTTTATGGTTGGCTCACAACATGAGGAACTATATTTAAAGGGCCAGAAGGTTGAGAACCACTGCTAACCTGTTAGCTGGAACCACTAGCCAGGACTCTTTCTGAAAATGTCCCACCTCTGCCTCACTATAGCATTATCAGCTGCGTTCATGTATACAAATTGCATGAACAAGTTTAGTTAATTGACCCAATATCTTTAATGCCTTGAAAGTTACCAAATCGTTAGAAAACAAAGATGAAAAAATTGGTTGCTCAGACATTCACTCCACACCTACCATTAGTGGATACAGCGCAGAATTCAAGCTCAGCCAGAATGCTCAGGGCTGATGTGCAGCTCCACTGGCTCTTGGGGAAGGGGAAGCAGGAGGGTCTCCAGGCTCCCGGAGCGTACGTCTGCAGGGAGTCCTACCCCTCTTCCCCAGGAGACCGTGGATGGAGAAACTGTCATCTAACTCAGGGAACTGGGAGCAACTCTGGAAAAGGGTCAGAGATGGATGGCACAAGTACTCCAGGCTACCAACTAATTCCAAGTTTAGCTCAAAAAGTAGAACTGTTGCCAGGTAGTTTTTTTAAGAGAACCAGGGACTCACAGAAAGTAGCCAACGAACAGTTGGCTGAAAGTGCAGGTGCCCGGGTCCAACTGGCCCAGTCTTCCCTTCCAGCTCATTTGCAGCTGGGCAAGGGGACCAAAGACAGGACCGACTACACCAGGTCATCTAGGAATGTCCTTCGGGGGCTAGCGGTATGTCCGTGAACTGTGGGTTCTCAAGAGCAAGGGCTGTGTTAGGCTTCTTCCTGTTGGGTCCACTGAGAATCATTCTGTGATTGCTTTGAGAGTTTATTATGAGTGGTTAGTTTTTTTGTGTTTTTTGTTTTTTTTTGAGACTGTGCACTTTGTAAGCATAGCCCCTCACATAGAACAGGCTGTGTGAGAGGCTCACAGGCAACACTGCCCCAGCAAGTCGAAAGTGCCCTCTGACCCTGTTGCCCACCAGTAGATGAGTGGATAAAAAGGCCGTGGTACATTTACACTGTGGAATACTAGGCAGCAATAACAAAGAAGGATCTGAGGCAGCATGGAGGGACCTGGAGAGCATTATGCTAAGTGAAATAAGCCAGTCAGAGAAAGACAAGTACTCTATGATTTCACTTATATGTGGACTCTAACAAGCAAAGTAGAGACAGACACATAGATAGAGAGCAGGCTGACAGCTGTCAGGGTGGGAGGGGCTTGGGGGGCTGGGTTGGGGGGCGTGGTGGAGGGACTGAGTGAAAAGAGACATACGTGCCCTTTGAAAAGCATGGTCTAAAGCCAGAGTAAATGATTCATCTGTGAGTCTCCTGATTCTCCCACAGTGCTGGTCTCATTAACCGGGCGGGGGACCCAATGCAGGCCCCCAGGCCCCCGTCCTCCCACTCACTGCTGCCCTCACAGCTCCCCTGACCACTCCTTGTCTCCCACTGCAGAGACGTATCATGAGGATCCTTAAATCAATACATATTATTAAAATAACAAGACAGGATCAAGGTGATTAGAACAGACCTAAAACTACATTTTTGAAATAAAATATGACTTAAATAGAATAGATCTTAAATAAGAGCTATAAAAGGCTAAAATTCAACCAAAAAAAGACAGTAAAGACCTTTAAATATCCCAAATGAAGCATTCTGCATGTGTAAAAAGTAAAATACAATAAAACAAGTAGTTTAAATTTTTTAATGGCTGGGGTTATTCAGTGTGACCAGGTGACTCAGGTGAGTTCTCTAAGTTGTTTTCATTCTGGTCCTGTTTGGGATGGGATTGACCCAGAGGACCTTCAAGCTTTTCCCAGGGTTCTTAGCAGTAATGGGGTGGGGCGGAGGTTTCAGGGGGGACCCAGCCTGCTGGGAACTCTGCCTAATGCCTGGGCATAGTAGAATAGATTGACCTCTGTATGACCCTCACACTCCCTCGCTGAAGCCTCAGAAACACAGAACCATTCACACAGGTGCACAAACACTTGGCCATCCTGACTTCCCTCCGTGTGTGTGTGTGTGTGTGTGTGTGTGTGTGTGTGTGTGTGTGTGTCCGTGTTCTATCGCAGCCTGCTAGTCAAATTCTAGTGAGCCCAGCTTCCAGGTCTGTGGACTGACCGTCAGCTCGTGCTCCTCCAGAAGCAGAATGGAGATGGGACTGTGTTCTGCAGAAGGCTGGAGAGCATCCCTGCCCTATTCTTCCCTGGCCTCCCCCTGCATCTCCATCCTTCCCCAAAAAACATCCCACCAATTTGCTATGGGAAAAAGGAACTTGCCGACAAATTTGTTGCCAAAGGAGTGTTTTAAGTCTGCAAGCAAATGTCTGGTTGTACACATTTTCATCCTTCAAAAATCCATTACAACGTTCGTATGTATGTATCTTAAAAACAGAAACACAAGAGCATCCATCTGAAAGTGAGGGTGAAAGCAAAGTCGTGACCTTCTAGAAAGAGTTAACAGCTCAGAAGGTCAGATCAGTCAGGCGCTCGGCTCTAGTGCTGAGAGTGGGGGCGTCTTCGGGATCCAGGCTCCGAACCGGGCAGAGAGCTGCGCGGCACTCAGCATGCCGCTTTCCCCAGCCCCTGCCCCAAACTGAGCTCAGCAGTCAGACCCGTGAGAGCAGCTTCGTGGGGGTTAGTAACCACATCTTAAATTGTGCGCAGAGCTTCCCAACTTCAAAAACAGCTCCACACACTGGTCATGCCATGCCAAGGCTCTCACACCTGAAGACTGGTAGCTAAGCAGGACTGCCTCCCACCTGAGCCTCAGCCTGAGGACTAGCCCCTGCTATGGAGGGAGGTGAGGGCCACGTCTTTAGACCCTCCACAGTGAGAATTAAAACCCAGGCTCCCCCTAAACCTGAGGGGCCATTGCTTGCCAGCTCCCTCAGTGGCAATGCTGGGGTAGAGCTAGAGTGAGTGAAGCTATCTTAGAACACGTGGTGGGCTTTGCTAAGTGAAATAAGCCAGTCAGAGAAAGACCTCCATCCACAGAGTCCAGATCTCATTTGCACTGGTTGTGAGCTATTTAATACATGACGGAGATGGTAGACGTGAGGCCCAGCGAATGCAGAGCCCACACTCACGGTGCAGAACCCGCCAGGCCTGTGGTTGGTATTTCTGTCACTTGTTTCCTTTTGCCCTCTCCTGCCACTGTGTTGCTCCTGTGTTAGCCAAGACCTAGAATGCCGATCTCTTCGTTGGAGACTCATTACAGCTTATCTCTATCTGCCTTTCTTTAAAGCCAGCTGAACATACCCAATGCTCTCCCTCTCTGGTAAGACCAACCCTCCAGACCACGCTCTGAGCTTCTGTGACCTCCTCTAACACCCCCCACTCTTACCACTGGACCCCGAGTCTCCCAGAGCCCAGCCTGGCTCCTGCTGCATGTGGCCACCGTGTCCGTCTTGCACCTTGCCTGCCTGGTCTCGTGGAACTGTGACGTGCTGTCTGTGTAATGGTGTCTTCCCCACTCCCTGAACTCTCCTTTGGGTGATAATTCACTGTGATCTTGACTGTCTAACGAGCCACTGGGAGAGAACTGGACCCGAGGGCAATTTCCTGTTAAACACCCTGAGACCCACTAGCTAAGCCTCTAGCAGCTACTGTGGGCCGGATCCGGCCCGTTTGAAATGAATAAAACTAAAAAAAAAAAAAAAAAAAAAAAAGACCGTACCCTTTTATGTAACGATGTTTACTTTGAATTTATATTAGTTCACACAAACACTCCATCCATGCTTTTGTTCCGGCCCTCCAGTCCAGTTTAAGAACCCATTGTGGCCCTCGAGTCAAAAAGTTTGCCCACCCCTGGGCTAGCCCTAACCTGACTGGGAATGTTGCACAGGGCGCCTTCGAGCGTTTGCCCAGGGTTCTCAGCAGTAATGGGGTGGGCAGACGCTTGAAGGTCTCCATGGTAAGGCCTCCTGGGAAAGAGGGACGAGGAGATGATCCAGCAGGAAGTGGGAGGGCAGACGGTTACTTTCTTCCTTTAATGGAGTTTCTGTAAGGACTGGGCTCCTTTGTGCTGAGTTTAAGGCCACAGCAGAAGGTTTGAGCTGGGATTTGTTTCTGACAGTGCGGCTGAATTTCCAGTGGCTTCATACCTGTAGAATTTTCTAAATTCCTGAGCTCATTAAAATTGGGCTGTCCCCACCCACTTTTCCGCAGCACACAGCAAGCGGAGAAGCTCAGCTCTTCGACTGGACCACTCCGATTCACTTGGGCTCAAGTGATAGAGATGCCACTGGTGTGACTTTGAGGTCTCCTTAGAACAGCCTTCTCAGAAAAGCTATCGTCACACATTTAGTGGTGGGGTGATTCCCTGAACCCCGAGTCAGCAGACAAGCCAAGGCTGGGTGGGCTGGTGGTGTTTCCTGACACGCCGCCCCAGGCCGGGTGGAGGCGGCCGAGGCAGGGCTGCTCCTGGGCTTGCCCCCCACTTCGCAGGGACGGCCACTGGCTCTGCTTCTTCATTGCAGTGTCGTTTGGTTTATTAGAAGAAGTGGCCATGTCCACGCGGAGTGTGTATCCCCCTCTAGAGCATCAGGAAACTACAGCAGCCGGGGGGCTCCTGGTCCCAGGCTGGAAGCCACACTGCAGGCTTGGGTTTCGTTTCCTCACCCGTCAGAAGCAGACGCCCCTGTGGCACAACTTCCCAGACTCTTGACACTCACAACTGAGGTTCCCACTTCAGCTTGTTGTTTCTTCTGCCCACCTCCCCCAACATGGTGGCACTGACAGCTGTTGTAAACCCCGAGCCTCTGCTGCATACTCCTCGTTTAAGGAAAGAAAATAGAATCTCAAGTAGATACACGGGTGTTAGAAATGCAGAGATTAAGGGCATCAAAGACTTCAGAATCCACCCAGGGCAGAGGGTGGGGCAAGTCAAGGACACTGCCTGCCCCTCCTCCCCGGCTCCCCCCACAGCCTGCCCTGCCTGAGGGGACTGAGGAGGGCTCTGGCTTAGATGTAGGAGAAATACTGCGACTCTTCCCCTGCATGGAGAGTCCAAAACCCAGAGGGACTTCCTGCTGGTTTCTGAGCATCCCTCCAGGAGGGGTAAAGGCTGTCTCTGGGTTACTCTGGCCTCTGGAGCCAGCAGCCACGTCAGTGACAGTCAGCGGGACAGGCCGCAGGGCCTGGGGGAGCAGGGCGACCATGCTGATGGGATGTGGGGATGGAGAGGGCCAGAGAGGCTCCCACCTGAAAATGACTAAGCACCAAGCCGGAAATGTGGGTGGAGAAGCCGGGAGGCAACACAGGGTCCCAGCGATGACCCAGAGGGAGGCAGCGATGGGAACAGTAACAGGAAGCCCCAGGGTCCATTCTCTCCCGGTGCCGACAGGGCTGGGTGAGCTGCACTAGCTCTGGGAGCAGGCAAGTGGCTGCCTGGTCACCACCCCAGCTCTTAGGCCCGCGTGGCAGGAGGAGGGGCCAGCGGGTCAGTCCATGTTTGCCTTGGGTCTGGAGGCAGACGGTGGCAGGGAAATCTTTCCTGCCCCCCTGAGCCTGCCCCAGCCTGTGCCCAAGCCCTGGGACCCTCCAGGTTCAAGATGCCCAGTGATCCCTCGGCCAGCAGCCCCAGCAGTGCAGCGCCATATTCCCACCTCAGCGGCTGTGCCTGCTCCATCCTTCTTCCCCTTGCCCTTGCCTTCACCCTCCAGGACTCCTGAGAAGATGATCTGCCCTGAGCAGGACCCCTTGGTCCTCTCATTCCAACTGCCTTCCCCACCTCTCCTGGAGAGGGGGTGCCTCCTAGAGGCCCCGGGCAGAGGAGGAGATGTAGGGCGGGGGGGGGGGGCAGGTTTAGAGCCCCAGAAAAGGCAAGGGCTGTAAAGCAGACACTCGCCCAGCACTAAGCAACACCAGAGCCATGTGGGCCGGGCGCTGTGAGCAGTGGGAGTTGACACACAGAAGTGCTGGAGTCCTAAGGAGCCCGAGAGCCAGCTCTTGCAGTGGGCAGCCCACTGCTTCCCACCGGCCCCAGTGCAGTCGTCCCCCTGCTGGGAGGGGCCCACATGCACCGGCCACCTTGCAAACCCATCCCCTCAGGATGCAGGACCCGCGGTCACGCTGGGCGGGAGGGAGGCCGCTGCTTTCTCAGCACGTGGCCGAGGCCGGGCGCCCTCAGAGGCTGGCGCCCCGCCTCGATCACAGGGCCTATGGAAGTTCCTCAGGGATGCTCCTGTCGCCCCACCCAGGCGCTCAAGGACTCGGGAAGAAAGCGAAGCAGGAGAATAGGAAAAAGGACATGGGCTCAGGGCCTGGGCACAGCTTGGCTCTGCAGAGACCTCAGGGTTGGGTTGTCCACCTGGAAAAGGTGGGCACTGCCTTCCCTCGGTGGCCAGGGAGAGAACTAGTGCAGCCAACCCCGCCCTGAGCTGGTCTGTCCCAGCCAAGGGCTGTGTTGCTGGAGCAGGGCCCACCCCGCTCTCGCCCACCCCTCCGTGTTGCTGTGTTAACTACCACCTCCTGTTGCCAATGGATTCCAGAATGCAGAGGAGAACTCCCGCATCTCCATCACCTTCTTCCGCCTCTTCCGGGTCATGCGCCTGGTCAAGCTGCTGAGCCGTGGGGAGGGCATCCGGACGCTGCTGTGGACCTTCATCAAGTCCTTCCAGGTAGCCACCTCTGCCCTGAGCACTGGCGGGAGGAGGCCTCCGCTTCTCCCGGGCTGCAGGGCTGCACGGGACTCCCCCTGCTCGTGTCTGACATGAGTCGCTTGGACTCAGTTTGTGGTTCTCAAAAGCATGTCTGGGTCCCCGGTTCTCCCTGAGGTTGGGTGGGGAAGGCTGAAAGCCCAGGAGGGCTGAATGGCTCTGCTTTCTTTTTTTTTTTTTTAATATTTTATTGATTTTTTACAGAGAGGAAGGGAGAGAGATAGAGAGTTAGAAACATCGATGAGAGAGAAACATCGATCAGCTGCCTCCAGCACATCTCCTACTGGGGATGTGCCCGCAACCCAGGTACATGCCCTTGACCGGAATCGAACCTGGGACCTTTCAGTCCGGAGGCCGATGCTCTATCCACTGAGCCAAACCGGTTTTGGCGGCTCTGCTTTCTTCTCTCACTTATGTATTTTTCTGCAAGAATTGATTAGACAGAGGGACTTTGTGGTGGAACAAATTTGAAAATCATGACCCCCAAGACCCCAATTCTGTCATTGCAGCAGTGACTGCTGTTCCTACTTAGGGACTTGGCTAAACTCTCCAGGACCCGGCATCACTGCTCTCGAGGAGAGATGGAACCTCAAATGAGCACAGGGTTGCCCAACATAGAATCAGTTCTCTTGGCTCAAACATTGTTTTCCATCTGTAAAAGCAGAATAACAGTTGCCTCTGGCCATCTCTGCAAGGCTTTTATTAGCTTTAAGCAAAGCCCTGTCAGGTCACTGACTCCCTGACAGGTGTGGCACTGCCATCAGGCACCTGCTTGCTTTGGAACCCCACCCCAAAGGCATACACACCTCCACAGAGAGCCTCCTGCCTGGGGTCAGCATCCCCGCCCAAGACGGGCCACAGGGAGGGCTCCAGCCTGGCTGCACTCCTAGCCGGCCCAGGCTGACTGCCCACCTCAGGAGGAGCGGGCCCTCCCTGCCACCCCACCCACCCTGAGCCACTCTAAGTCCCTGGGAAGCTGAGGATTCTTCGGAAAGCAGACTGGGCTGACCCTGTCCAACGGGCACCTTTGGAGATCCACAGCTGTGGGTGACCATATAGGCCTCCCGTGTTTCCTGGGCTGGGAAGAGGCACCGGGCCTGTGAAGAGGGAGGCCGGACTGTGGAGCTGGAGCGCTGATGACCCTTAGCGTCCACATGGTCTCGCAGTGCCATCTAGTGGTCTGTGGGCACCTGGCCGGGCATTTCCCCAGGGGCCTCCCCAGAAGTGGCAGGAGCTCTGGAAAATTCCGTGGTCTGCGCATCTTGAGTGAATAAAATGTGTGGAACCCAAGTGCAAGGCAATGCACGAAACGTTTTGTAAGCCTGACATCATTTAAACTCTACAAAAGCCCCGCAAAGTCATCGTTGCTCTTCTCAGTTTTCAGATGAAGAAAACGAGGCTCAGCGAGGTTAATATGCCCCGGTTCTCATAGCTAGAGAGTGGCAGAAATAGGATTTGAGCCCATCATACTTCTTTTAGTTAAGTTTCCCTCAGAAAATGTTTTTATTACCACTAGTGGAACAACATACAGCCATACAAAGAAAGGGAGGGAGCCGCCTCCTCCGCGCCTCCGGGGAGCCTTGGTGTGTGTTCTCTGAGCCTTTCTCCTTGCTGAACAAAGACACGTCTCCTCAGAGGACATTTTGCTCATTTGTCATTGTTTTTACTAAGTAATATCACACTATTTTCTTTACTCTGCAACCTGCTTTTCTCAAGACTACACTGCTTTTCGGGTGATTAAAACCAAGTAAAATGAAGGGTCAGTATCATCACTCAGGCCTCCTCCCAGGTGCCCAGAACCATGGAACTCCTGGAAATGCCCCCCATGCCAGGCATCTGCTGGTGGCAGGTGCCGTGCCCTGGGAAGGGGTCCAGCCAGCCTGCCGTCTTCACCGCCTCACAAAGTCTTTTGCTTCCTCCAGGCCCTGCCCTACGTGGCCCTTCTGATCGTGATGCTGTTCTTCATCTATGCTGTGATCGGGATGCAGGTAGGAGCTCCCTGGTGCTCGGCTCCTCTGTCCCCTGCTTTCCCAGCCCCACACTCCCTGACGCCCTCTGCCTTCTCACCTCCCCCCTGCTCCTGGCTACCCTGCTCCCTTCTCTTTCACCTTCTGAGGCCCAAATATCACAGGAATTGGAACTTCCCCCCAAATTGTATCCTATAAGTAGCAGGGTGAATGTCCAAGAGTGGAATACATAGCTCAGAGAGTTTCTCTCCCCATTTTCCCAGGCCTGGGTTCTGCGCTCAGAAAAACGTTTCCAAATTATGCAGTGGGCTCAAGAGATATGGGCCCTTCTAGGAATCCGCAGGAAGGGTGTGTCAGACAGCATCCCTCCCTTTGCCCAGGTCTGAAGGGCCTGAGAACTATCCCCAATCAGTGTCACTCAGGAGAGAGGGAGGGAGAGAAGCAGGCTCTCCCCATCAAACACACAGCAGTTCCCAGGCCCCCCACCCGTGCCACTGCACTTTCTCCTGCCCCAAGCCCCGAGTTCTCCAGCCATGCCTTGGGGTTCCAGAAGAACACCCAGCCCACACTGCACCCTGGCCAGGAGCTTTTCCTCAGCAGCTCCTTGAGCACGATTCTCCTGCTTGTTTTTGCAGAAAGACCCTAAGGTTCATAGGCCAAAACCTTTGAGATGAAAAGAGCTACCTTGCCATTGATCAAGGGTGGCAGTTTCTAAGATAAGCATCGCTTTAAAAGTTCGGGGGATGGGGTGAGGAGGCCTCTGATTCCAAGGATGCATTAAATCTGTCGAAGCCCCAGATTGCTTATTCCATATCATTCCAGAGTCCAAGAACGAAATTTGGAAGTGTGCTTGGGCATATGGAGCTGAAATGGCAAAGGCATCAATAAGTTCTGATGATCTAATGGTGATGATAGTTAATAATAATACAGTATTGGAGCCTTGACATTACTGACAGATCGTAAGCGTTCTTACACCAAAAACTGTTAACTGTGTGAGATGAGGCATGCTAATTGTCTTGATATTGGTAATGATCCTATAGTGTGTGTGTACATCAAATCATCAACACATTGTACACTCTAAATATATACAATTATATTTGTTAGTTATTCCTTCATAAAGTTTTTAAGAGAAAATATTCTTAAGAATGTGCAGTTCCCTCCCCTCTGAAAACCAGTGAGCCTGTTCTCAGCCTCAGCGCCCACCGGGCCACCGGGCCTCTGCTGAGGGCCCATGGGTTCTTCTTACATTGACACAGGGAAGCAGGTGCCTGCCCCGTTGAGGCCCAGCCAGGTTGCATGAGGAGACTCTGCTCAGTTTATAGGCCAGCCTGTCCCAGGGTCAGCGCTGACCCTGAGGAGACCTTTGAGTGATGTGTGGGAACTAGGGTGCTCCTGGTCCATGCTTCACCGAATCCCTTTCCTCTCCCCTTTTAGGTGTTTGGGAAAATTGCCTTGAATGACACTACAGAGATCAACCGGAATAACAACTTTCAGACCTTCCCCCAAGCTGTGCTGCTCCTCTTCAGGTGGGTCTCTGAGGACCGTGCACACAGAAACAGCAGCATGATGCCACCCTAGAGTCTGGATGTAGAACGAGAGGGGACTCTCTCCAGGAGAGTGGGCAGGGGGTGAACTGATGCTGGGTCTCCCTCCAGGGACTGGGAAGCAGTCATTTCATTGTTATTTACAACCTCCCATCAGGCAGCCATGGACAGGGCACAGCTGCTGGTAACCACCTGAAAATAGTAGGGGATCAAAAGTCAAATACTGAAAGCTCCCTGGTTTGGAAGCTAAACAGGCTGAAAGCCAAGCCTGCAACACACTTGCTCTATGGCCCTGAGTAAGAATCTAACTTCTCTGAGCCTCAGTTTCCTCATAAAACAAATACAGGTGCCAATGTCGGTGCCATTGCTGTGTTGGGTAGGTATGTCCATGTGCTTGGTTCCTCTCGGTGAGGCCAGCCACTCACCTTTACTTCTTGGAAAGCCATCCTCAGGTGTAGCTGCGGAGGGCAGGGTTCTCATGCCTGCCTGCCTGTGAGTGAGCGCGTTTTTGCCACTTGCAGCAGCTTCTCCTCCTCCTCTGGTTCCTAGCCACCCTGTCAGCCCCCTTGGTTCTTATCACCTCCCTGGGACCCCACCTAGTCCAGGGCTGGGAGGTGAGAACTGTTAACCCTATCCTGGGCCACATGATTTCTAGTCATTGCCCTGGCGTTCCTTTCCAGAGGATCCAGGGATTCTCTCTATCAGATAGCCCACCTTCACCATATTCTAGAGCAGTGGTTCTCAACCTTCCTAATGCATGACCCTTTAATAGAGTTCCTCATGTTGTGGTGACCCCCAACCATAAAATTATGTTCATTGCTACTTCATAACTGTAATTTTGCTACTGTTATGAATCGTAATGTAAATATCTGATAAGCAGGATGTATTTTCATGGTTACAAATTGAACATAATTAAAGCATAGTGATTAATCACAAAAACAATATGTAATTATATATGTGTTTTTTGATGGTCTTAGGCGACCCCTGTGAAAGGGTCGTTCGACCCCCAAAGGGGTCGCGACCCATAGGTTGAGAACCACTGTTCTAGAGCATCCTTTCTTCATGACCAAGCCTAAGTATCATTATTGCTTAAATGTCTCCAATCAAATGACAGAGCCCTCCCTCAGACTGTGGCTATGAGAACACAAGGGCCCCTGTCAACTGCAATTTAACAACACTTTAGCCTATGCCACATTTAAATAGGGGAACTAGACACAGATGACAGAGCAAGAACATGGGTCTATCTTCCCTCCTTTCCTCAAGTCCTTGATGACAGAGATATTTTTAAAAGAATAAACCATAACAGGACTAGGAAGAAGAAAAGCAAACATTAAAGGGTGCTATTGGTGAACCAGAAATATTGAGAATTTCCTAAGTGGAAGAAAGCAGATAGGATTCAACTACAAAGAAAAAAATGTAATATGTACATTCTAAACCACTAGAGGGGAAAATGGATGCACACACATAAACTATTGCAACTCAGCAAAAGGACACAGATGCAAAGAAGGGAAGGAAGGGAGGGAGAGAGAGAAAGAGAGAGTGAGAGAAAGAAAGAAAGAAAGAAAGAAAGAAAGAAAGAAAGAAAGAAAGAAAGAAAGAGAAAGGAAAGGAAAGGAAAGGAAAGGAAAGGAAAGGAAAGGAAAGGAAAGGAAAGGAAAGGAAAGGAAAGGAAAGGAAAGGAAAGAAGGAAGGAAGGAAGGAGGAAGGAAGGAAGGAAGGAAGGAAGGAAGGAAGGAAGGAAGGAAGGAAGAAGAAGAAAGAAAGAAAGAAAGAAAGAAAGAAAGAAAGAAAGAAAGAAAGAAAGAAAGAAAGAAAAAGAAAGGAAGGAAGGAAGGAAACTAGAACATAAATTAAGATGGTGGGAATAAGAACAAAAATTAATAATCACGAAAAATTAAATTTCTCTATTAAAAGATAGATATTCTAATGTTGGCTTTAAGAAGTCTAGCCTGTTTATAATAGGTAGAGTAAAATAAAATAACCTAAAGAGAATAAAATAAAAGAATAGAAAAAGAATACCACATGTACTTACCAAAAATGTAGATGTAATAAAAGCAATATCAGAAGAAATAAAATTCCAGGTGAAAGAAGGATGTTCAATATTGATAAAAGATATAATCCATCAATAATATGTAACAATCATAAAACCACATGCATGTAACAATGTATTTGGGAATATATCAGACACTGATAGAACCATAAAGAGAAAATGAACACAACACAGGGGGAGACTTCCATACAGCACATAGAAGCTGACAGACCAAACAGGACATCTAAATAACATAATTAAGCCTAATTGAATAACTCTGTACTCAATAAATAGCAAAAAAAAACAACACTACTTTTTTAAGCACCCAGAAACATTCCAAAAATTAGCCAAGATGTAAGTCACAAAGAAAATTTCAATGAATTCTAAAATTTCTCTTACTTCAATACAGCAAAAATTAGAAAGTAACCATAAAATTAGTAGTCCCTCTAAAATCTATTCACTTAATTGTGTTCTAAATAACTCAGAGCTGAAGCTACAGACTACTTAGAAATGAGAGAGAGAGAGAGAGAGAATATCTTAAATTTATGAGCTTTACTAATCAATGAAAAAGGAAAATTTGGAGCCAAGATTAATTTATTTTTTTAAGTTTATAATAATTCAACTAATAAATGGAAAAAGAACAGCCATATTACCCCAAAGGATGAAGGAATGTATTTATTAAAATAAAAGCAGAAATAAAATATCTTTAAAATATATTAATAAACTTTAAAACTGAATCTTTGAAAAGAGCAATAAATAGGCAAACTTTCATCAAATCCAAATTTTTTGAGAATTTTTCAAGAGTTTATTTGAGCCAAACTGATGACAGATGCCAAGGAGCAAGATCTCTAATGCTCCCAAGTTTTCCAGCTTCTTTTATTCATTTTAAATTAAAGAAGGAATTTAGAGAAGATTACATAGAGGTGTGAAAAAGCAGGGTAGGAATTGGATTATAGGATTGTTAACTAGATTATGTGCTTTCTTTTTTATTTACTTTTCAATTGCAGCTTAATTCAATATTATTTTATATTAGTTTTATGTGTACAGCAGAGTGGTTAGACAATCAAGTTATATAATTTATAAAGTGAACCTCCCAATATATCAAGCACTCACCTGGCACCATACATAGTTACTCTAATACTAGAGGCCTGGTGCACAAAATTTGTGCACTCAGAGGGGTCCCTCAGCCCAGCCTGCACCCTCTCACAGTCCGGGAGCCCTCGGGGAATGTCTGACTGATGGCTTAGGCCCACTCCCTAGGGGGAGCGGGCCTAAGACAGCAGTTGGACATCCTTAGCTCTGCCTGTGGAGGCGGGAGAGGCTCCCACCACTGCCACTGCGCTTGCCAGCCATGAGCCTGGCTTCTGGCTGAGCAATGCTCCCCTTGTGGGATTAGGCCAAAGCCCACTCTCCTCCAACATCCCCCTAAGGGGTCCTGGATTGCGAGAGGGCACAGGCCAGGCCAAGGAACCCCACCAGTGCACGATTGTGGCTAGGGGGAGAGTCGTGGGAGGTTGGCCAGTCAGGGAGGGACCACGGGAGGGCTTCAGGGCATGTCCGGCCCGTCTCACTCAGTCCCAATCAGCTGGACTCCAGCAGCAAGCTAACCTACTGGTTGTCTGCCCCCCCTGGTGATCAGTGCATGTCATAGCGAGTGGTTGAGTGGCCTTAGCATATAATTAGCATATTACACTTTGATTGGTTGAAGAGCTGACCGGTTGACTGGACACTTAGCATATTAGGCTTTTATTATATAGGATTATTGACTACATTCCCTATGCTGTACTTTACATCCTCTTGACTATTTTGTAACTACCAATTTTTACTTCTTACTACCTTCACCTTTTTGACCTAGCCCCCAACATTCCTCCGATCTGGCGACCCTCAGTCTGTATCTATGAGTCTGTTTCTATTTTGTTTGATTGTTTATTTTAGATTTGGCATGTAAGTGAAATCATATGATATTTGTCTTTTTCTGTCTGATTTTATTTTACTTATAGTAGTAGGTCCATCCATACTGTCAAAAATGGTAAGATTTCATTCTTTATTATACCTGAGTATTATTCCATTGTATTTATGGACCACATCTTTATCTAATCATCTATTGATGGGCACTTGGGTTGCTTCCATATCGTGGCTATTGGAAGATCTTTAGCTTTTCTTGTCTGGGAAGATCTTTATTTCTCCTTCAATTTTAAATGATAGCGTTGCTGGGTAGAGTAGTCTTGGTTGTAGGCCCTTGCTTTTCATCACTTTGAATATTTCATACTGTTCACTTCTGGCTTGAAAATTTTCTATTAAAAAATCAGCTTAAAGTTTTATGGGAGCTTTCTTCTAGGTAACTGTTTTTCTCTTGATGCTTTTAAGATTATCTCTTTGTCTTTAACTTTTCTTGTTTTAATTATGATGTGTCTTAATATGGGCATTTTGGGATTAATCGTGTTTGGGACTCTCTGCACTTCCTGGACTTGTGTGCCTTTTTTCTTCAATAGGTTAGGAAATATTTTAGCCATTATATCTTCAAATAGGTTCTTAATCCCTTAATGTCTCTTTTCCTTCTAGTACACCCATGATACAAATGTTATACTTGATGTTGTCCCAGAGGTCCCTTAAACTATTCTTATTTTTTTATTCTTTTTTCTTTTTGCTGCTCTTATTGGGTGTTTTTTGCTATTTGGTCTTCCAAATCACGGATTGGATCCTCTCAGTGAACCATAAAGGGAAAACGAACACACACACAGTGGGAGACTTTCATACAGCATGTTGATTCCTAATCTGCTGTTGACTACTTCTAGTGTATTCTTCATTCCAGTTACTGTATTCTTTATTTCTGATTGGTTCTTTTTCATGATTTCTGTGTGTTTTTTAATGCTGTTGAAGTTCTCACTAAGTTTTCTTTAGCATCCCTATAATCACTGTTTTGAACTCTGTATCTGGTATTTTGCTTTCCTCC